TACCGAGGATCGAACTCACAACCTCCTGCTTACAAGGCAGGCATTTATGCCTGCTGAGCTAAATCCCCAGCCCAGATCTGGCATTTCTATACAATGGAAAGCTACTCAGCTACAAAGAAAGATAACCTCGAGGCTCTTGTAGGTCAGTGGATACAATTTGAGATCATGCTCAGGGGTGAAATGGCTCAGAGTCACATGGGTTAGTATCATGTTGTCGCCCTAGTATAAAAACTAAAGGAGTTAGTGGGATCCAAAATGCACAATGGATGTTGTAAAGGGGAAAGGGGAGGAGATGTCCAGAAGGAAAGGCAGTGGCCAGTGTTAACCTATATCTTGGTTGTGTGTATGTGTGTGTGTGTGTGTGTGTGTGTGTGTGTGTGTGTTTTGTGGTACCAGGGATCAAACTCACAATCTCACGTTTGTCAAGCAGGTGCTTATGCCACTGAGCTAAATCCTCAGCCCCATCCTTTACCCTGCTTTGAAACCCTGTATAGTTTTCATTATTCTTTTTGGCTTGGTTTTATTCTGTTTTGCCTTGATTTTATCATATTTGATGACAGGGACAGCTATTTCAAAAATAACAAAATGTGTAATAGTAGCCATTACTGATTTCCAATTATCTTGTTTTGAAGCCCTGTATTGCTTTACTTGTTTTCTTTTGATTGATTTTATTCTATTTTGTTTGATTTTATTATGTCCGATGGTATAAGCAGCTACTTTGAAGATAACAAGCTGCGTTATGATAGCCACGTTGTATTCCTACTGTCTCATTTTGAAGTCCTGTATTGCTTTCATTGCTTTGCTTTTGACTGTTTTATTCTATTCTGTTTTGTTTGATTTTATTGTGCCTGATGCTATAGGAAATTATTCCGAAGACAGCAAGAGGCATCATGGTAGCCAATGTTGGCTGCCTTTTATCTTGAAGTCTTGTATCATGTTCATTGTTTTGTCTTAATTGTCTCTATTCTGTTTTATTTCTTTTGATTTTTTTCTCTCCAAAATAAAAATTAAAAAAATAAATAAGGGCCGGGGATTTAGCTCAGTGGCATAAGCACCTGCCTGGCAAGTGTGAAGTCATGAGTTCAATCCCCACCACCAAAAATAAACAGAATTACGGCTATAAAAACCTAAGAACAATATTGGGACAGAAAGTAAAAGTCACTCTCATGAACATAGATGCAAAAAAAAAAAAAAAATCCTGAACAAAATGTTAGCAATTTAACAAAATGAAAACCGTGAGAACCAAGTTGTGTTTCTTCTAAGAATGAAAGGTTAGGACATTAGAATATGCATTAAGTATACTTAATTAATAGAAGAAAAATTGATTGTGATCTGAACTGATGTGGGAAAGTATCCAAGACAAAAACACTCCATTCACAAACTAGAAAGACAAAGGAATTTTGTTATATGATACAGAGTATCTTCAAAATAACAAAAGCAAAAAAAAAACTTTTTTCAGTTGTGAAATACAAATACATGTTCTTGAAAAGCACACAAAAGATTGCACACTCTCCCCAGCTCAGCACTGCTTTGGAATCTAACTCCAGCACTCAGGAAAGAATAAAAATAGCAAACAAATTCAGAAAAAACAGAGCAAATAATCACTTTTGCAGATAAAGTGTCAACATACAAAAGTTTCAAGTACCTATAGATTATTAGAATTAACAGAAGAGCATAGACATAAATCAATATATGAGTCAGCTATATTTCTATACTGCAGGAAAAAAAGAAGGTAAGAAATGCCATTTTTAGGCCAGACATGGTAGCACACATACGCCTGTAATCCCAGCACACACTCGTGGGAGGCTGAGGCAGAGAGAGGTTCACTGTGACTTCAAACAAAAAAAAAAAAATGCAATTTCTAAAAGCATCATTTACAGCTGGGCTCTGTTGCCCACATCTACTTGGAAATAGAGGCAGAAGAATCACCTGAGCCCAGGAGTTCAGGACCAGCCTGAACGCCATAGGCAGGCCCCATCTCAAAAAACAAAATAATTTTCAAGAGCAGCAGTATAAGGCTCCTGTGAGTGAGTCTAACAAATGATGTGCAAGACTTTTCGGGAAATGAGACCTAATAAACAGAATAGCATAACTTTTCTGTCAATAAGAACATTAAACACCTTAAAGATATCAATTCAGCTCTTTCCTGAATTACACCATAGCTTCAGTGCAATTCTAATAAAAATCTCAGAAAGACATTTTGTAGGGGCTGACAGATTAATTCTAAAGACAACCAATGGCCAAACAACAGAAACAAGGGAATATTGAGAGGCAGAACTGACGCAGCATAAGCAGTCGACGGTGTGGCTGTAGCACAAGGCTGAACGAAAAACCAAAAGAATGGAGAAGGAGCTCAGGAATGGACCCGCATTTACATCAAAACACGACACACGGTCCAGGATGTAGCTCAGTGGCACAGCGCCGGCCCGAGAAGCGTAAGGGCTTGCATTCGATTCCAGGTACAAAAGAATCATACGTGACAGAGCGGGTACCGCAGATATGTAGTGTTATCCGTACAGAAAAACAAAATGAAAACGAATTCTTGTCCCCACACTCACAAAAACTAACTTTAGGTAAATCAGGAAATGGAATAGTAACATCAAAACTTGAAAACGTTTAGAGGAAAAAATAATATTCTAATGATTTATAGGTAGGGAAAGATTGTTCAATCAAATGAGCAAGATAAACATAAACACAAAGAAAAAATGATCAAAATTGAATAACATTAAGGATTTTTGTTTACCACAAATATCATAAGGAAAATGAAAAGATAAACCTCCACCTGTGATTTGCAGCATAAAACTAACAAAGAATAATTATCCAAAATAAGTAGAGAATCCCAAAAAATAAGACAAAGAGAAGAAGAAACATACAGAAGACATTAGCAGGTGTACCTGTGAAAACACGAGCAGTCATTATATATATGAAGACATACTCAACCTCATTATTAATCGTGAAGCTACAAATCAAAATGATAATAGCTTTTCAGAAACAGAAACCCAATGAAATCAAGCACTGGCAAAGACACAGAACCACAATATTCTCATACACTGCTGCCAGAAGTATAGATTGCTTCAATCACATGAGAAGGAAATTTGGCGTGATTTCACAAGGCCAGTGCTAGAAACCAGTTTGCTCCACTTCCAGTTCAACCTTTTTAGTGTAGGTCCCTTTATTTCAAAGAGCAGAAAATGAAACACGACATTACCAAAACGCCCATGTAGCAAGGGCTCCAAGGTAATGAAGGGCTGACTCGTCCGGAGATCTCAGCTAACTGGGAATGAGAGGCCGGACTGAAGGCATTCATTTTGTGGGCGGGGATTGTAATGGTGGCTTCCCAATTTTGAAAGGTGGTTTTAGAGCAAAGGCTTGGTTCTGGAGCCAGCAGGTCTAACAGTGGCTTCTCCATTCAACTGAAATGGCTCCCTAATTGGACCTAAGGGTGTGTGGCTTTGGAACCAGAAGGGAACTGGCAACTTTCCACTTCAAAACCAGCTTCTCCTTGAAAGGAAGAGTGATGGCTTCCTGGGTGGCCGAATCCCTTGGTGTGGCTTTGGGAATATTCCTAGTTCAGTCTACAGTGTGTCCCTTCAAACCTCCCAATAATTCTATAAGTGATCAATATCCTATAATAACCCCTTCTCTTCAATAATCCAGGTTGCATTCTATTCTTTGTAACTGTAACTTGGTCAATATACCTGGCAAAACTCTACTGAAACAATTATGCTCCTAGATACACATCCTAAAGAAACTCTGGCTATGTAAACTATCAATATATACACGGATGCTTACTGTAGAATCTGAAATTTTTAAAAAACTCAAACAATCCTATGTTGACTAAGAACAGAATAGATAAAAAGCCGTGATATAATCAAAAGGATACTACAGAGTTATGAAAACGAATCACTTACAGCTTTCCATGCCAATACAGACAAACACAAAATAATGTTGAAAATACTTCACAACAGAATATGGGTGGTGTGATGGCATTTAGTCACGTGTCATTTAGCAACAGAGATATGTCCTGAGAATGTGTCCTTAAACAGCTTCATAGAGCATATCATAGAGCATACTTAATCTAAACCAGCTGCGATATTATTAGGCAACAGAATCCGGTGTGTCCACCACCACGTGTGAAGTCTGCCATTGATCAAGTGTCATAATGCAGTAGATGACTGTATTAACTTTAACACTAAATGTCACGTGGAGACACACGGGTACGTGATGGAACCACAAAGAAAATACAGGAAGCAGTCACAGACGAATCAGGTATTCATCACATCTTGTGGGAGGGGACAGGGGTGTTACCAGGAAGGAATGCATGGGAGGGTGGGGGGTTTTCAGGGCAGGAGTCATGGGCTGGTTGTGTACTCATTCAGCTTTACATTTCTGTTAGATAAATCTTCAATAAATTGTTTTTATTTGCTAACTAAACATTAAAGAAAAATAAGAGGACAAGAAGAAAATGAAAGTGTTGATAAAATCAACCATGGAAGTCAATCCTGCCCTAAAATTCACCAGTACAACAATGAAATAACAGAAGCTAAGGTTAGTATTGGAGCATCATTTAAAATGACAAGAGCTTAGAATACAAATAGGTCTAAGTTGGAGACACAATGGAGTAAGACACAGCTGTAAATAAAATAGCTGAAGGATTTCTTTGTATATTGCATGATTGTCAATATGTGTTCATAACAACTTTTATGAGAAATAAATGAGAATAATAGAAAAGCAGTATATAGCCTAACACTATTAATGCAATGTAATGTCTATATACACCATGAATGGCTTTTATTTATAAAATGAATTATAAGAATAAATTAGGAGCTGGGTATGGTGGCACACTTCAGCACTAAGGAGGCTGAGGCAGGAGGATTGTTGCAAGTTCACGACCAGCCTGGGCTACAAAATGATCCCAAGACCAGCCTGAACTGCATAGCAAGACTCTGTCTCAAAAGGACCAAAAATAAACAATAAATAAATAAGTAAATAGATAAAGAGTGTTGTATGAAAGGAGAGAAGGTGACCAGGATGAAGACAAGGATGGACGAGGCCCTTGGGTCTCGCGACACGCACATGGTTAAGGCTCTGGCCCCTACTTCATGGCATCTGAACACTTTTCCAGTGCATCTGAAGAGGATTAAAATTACGGTGGCCGGATTTACACCCTTCCCTGGGGAATAAAGGGCAATCTGAGATGATTGGTACCACCCTCTTGAGATTTCCCGTATAAACAGATGGTTATCGCACTAGGAATGGGCCATCCACTGCCACCGAGATTAATACCGACACTACTAAAAGATAAAAGCTAAAGACTAAGACAGGACTAAGACTACGGATTTTCTACTCATGGCTTCCACAGGCCCTTGCTGCCACTGGATCAGTGTTAGCTGCCATGCTGGTAATCGCTGGTTGATTACAATTTTTTTGGTTTTGTTGTGGTGGTAGTTGTTGATTATAATTTGACTTGCATTGCACCCACCTCATGATTTTGCCCTACAGAACTTTCCTAGAGAAGTGGGCTCATCAGCAACCAGTCTCCAGTCACCCCGTCTCTCAGGAGCTACCTCTCTCAATAAATATTCCAACTCTTGAAAAAAAGAAAAAGGAAAGCCAAGCATGGTGACACACGCCTGTAATCCCAGCACTTGGGAGGCTGAGGCAAGAGGATCACCGTGAGTTCTAGTCCAGCCTGGGCCACACAGTGAGTTCAAAGCCAGCCTGAACTAGATAGTAAGACCCTGCCTCAAAAAACAAAATAAAGCAAAGGCATTAGAAACTACTAAAATGGCCGGGGGTTTAACGCAGCAGCATAAGTGCGTGCTTGGCAAATGCGAGGTCATGAGTTCAATCCCCAGCACCAAAAAAAAAGAAACTCATAAAATGATTATACATAGGGGAGGAGCAGAATTAAAGAGAAGGCAGTAAGTTTCTCTAAGTATATATTTTCAGTTTTATTTTTGAAACATATAAATACATATATATATTCAAATAATCTAAATTCTAAAGAAAAAATAAAGCAATTCCCATAATTGAAAACAAATTAAAATAAACAAGAGCAGGCATATAGGAAACAACCCCACAAGGGAATTACTCCAAGGGACCTGAAACAGTACTGAGACACATATATATATATATATATATATATATATATTCCCTAGAAGGGATCCTCTGGTCCCAAATGGGAGAGTGTAACCTCACAATGGGGACTTGATAGTCCTCACCTTAAACAAGTGACTAAATCATAGCTTCTCCAATGAAAGTATTACCAACATTGTTTGATTCTTTTTTCTTTTGCAGTACTGGGGATCAATCTCATGACCTTGTGCTTGCCAGGCAGGCACTTATGCCACTGAGCTAAATCCCCAGCCCCTAATATTGTTTGAGTCTACAAACATGTATTGACACAGGCAAACACAATGTTCCCAAGGAAAAAAAAATTGTCCTAAAAAGTTTCCTGTATAGATTCCATGCATTACGAAAATAAATCAAGAAAAAAGGACAAATTATTGATATTAGATGATACTGACTTTTAAAGAGACAAATTTCACATTCATATCACAGAATTGATTGCCTCCAAATTCATTGTTTGAAGTGATAGTAGATTATTTGCAGGGACCGATGAGATTTCCATCTTCCGGGAGACCTTGCCAGCAAGCACACACCAAAAGAGATGGACTCAAGAGGCCACCATGAAAAGGTTCCACAGTACGTCACTCGTTCTTGTGGAATTCCCACAATGGCAGGTTTGGTAACTCAGCTACACGCAACGGGTTAACAGACTGGAGAATCCCTTCTTCACCCAAAAAGCAGTTAAACCCTACTTCTGAAGGACCTTAACTTTCAGAATAAAAATAATCACTGTATCTGGGTTGGGTAATTGGATTCCTTAAAAGGTAATGCTGACTTCATAAAGCAAGAGAAAGAATGCAGTCAGCAGCTTTTCAAATCAAGATGATCTCCACGGAGAGCCAGAAGCCAAAGGAGACCTGTGACTTCCCGCTCGGCTCCTGGATGCTCGGAAAGTGCTTCTCTAAACACACCACACCCTGGGAGAATCACAGGATAATTCCGAATCCCAAAGCCACTTCCTAGCTGGTCTCACTCTTCTTTCTTTTTAGTAAGTATCAGAATAACAAAAAACCCTGTTGACCACCCCGCTCTTCTTCCCTTCCCAGACAGTGAGACTGCACAGCTATTTTTTTGGGACAAATCTCCTGTTTCCTCCTCTGTTTTCCTCCAGGCATTAGATACAGGTATTTCATAAGACTCAATCTCTTCTCTTCCTTAAGCAGCTTACATGCTTTGAAGCTTCAACTCTTTCTTCCTACAGTGACTCTGTATTATTTATCTTTCCCATTTGGGACAGGACACCCAACACCCACAGTTTAGGGCAGAGTGGGTTTAATCTGGCTTACTTTTAGTAGGATTCAGTGCATGTCAACTGGCTCCCAGGTAGAAATGTTGTCGTGGAAAGGAACTGCAGCACAAGGCTGCTTCAGTGTCCAGCTAGGACGAGAGCAGGGAAGGGTCACAAAAAGGAAGGGGCCAGGGGCCAGGCATGACCCAGGCAGGCAGCGGTGTGCACCACCCAGCCCTGAGCACGTCCCGAATCCAAGCAGGGGGCCGCTCTAGCATGCCAGACAACTGACACGGGCTCAGACCTCAGGTTACCCTTCAGACCCAGACTCAGGGCCAGTGGCCAGCTGGAAGCCTGCACCTCACTGCGCACAGATGGTTAAAGTCCCATCTGCTCAAAATGGGAAGCAAGCTGACCCCGACCACCTACTTCTGCGCTCCCGGCTCTTTGGGCCCTCGAGCATCTAGAGAGGATACAACACAGCCTATTATCACCGGGGTCACCATCCTGTCAGCACTCCTAGACTCAACCCCAAATCTCCAGCCCTCTTAAGCGTCTTCTAGGGCCCCACATCCCAGTTTTTCTGGTTCTGAATGCAAGGGGCCATCTGTAAACACAGTCCGGTCCCCATCCCACGTCCAGAAACCTCTGCTCTGTACAAAACGTTTTCTAGATGACATAAGGCCAAGGGCTCGCTCGTCCTGTAAAACTGGGCTATGATTTGTTGTGACCCGGTTTGCCTCTCAAAGGAGCCGCGTGGTTCACAGATCACTGAGGCTGCATGGGCTCCGGGGGCGTGGCTGAGCGTGTGCCCATTGCATCACAAAGGGGTGTTTATGAGGCTGAACCCCAGCTCTGTGAGTCAAGAACCAGGAGACAGGCGGCCCAGTGGCCCAGCCCGGGAACCTTACCGGGAGTGGAGTGATTCTCTTATTCCTGGAGGGCAGCCCTTGTTCTCACCCAGAGCGCGCCCTGAAGGTGAGGGGTTTGGGGGTGCTCTATAAGAGACTGATCGCAGAGGACCAGGCAGGCAGGTCTGGGGGGGCACAGAAGAAATCATCTGAGAACCCCACTGCAGCCTGCACATGCTTCATGTATGGCACTGCAGTTTTATTTTTTAAACAAGATCCCATTTGAACAAATGGTTCTGAAACTTCAAAAGAATTTTTAAACTCCAGGACGGTTGCAGGTGTCCAGAACGGGAGTGCTTGCTTGGCGTGCATGAGGCCTTGGGCTCGATCCCCACACTGAAGAAAAAAATAAAAAGTAAAAACTATTCTAGCCTACAGAGAGCGGCAAAGTAGCTCAGAGGCAGACGGTGGAAGGCCTTGAATTCTAAACTAAGGAGAAAAGATTTTCATCTCAGGCCAACAAGAAGCCACCGACTGATTTTTGTGGGAAGAGGAGGGAGGAAGCAGTGTTTGAGGGAGACACAGGGCCTGGTGTGGACCACAGAACTGGACCCCAAGGGCAAGCATTTTATCTAACGGTTTTAGACTAAAACACAATTTTAAGGGGCAGATGCAAAAGACATTCCAAAGGAGAAAATTCTAGAATTCGTGATTAATTAGTTTTAGGGATAAAGGCAAAGGAGAAATGCAAAATTACATCCCTGTTTTAGATCAAATGACTGGGGGGATGATCGTGCCAGATACACAGGAAGAGGCATGTTTGGAGAAAAGGCAAGGCATCTCATTGGTGGCCAGTGGAGTTGGATTTAATGGCAGGACATAGTGGTCACTACCTATAAGTGAATGATGGTTCGTAAAATTGTGTGTCCTACTCTGATCACCTGTCCAGGCATAGATTCATAGATTCACACAGCCAGCCAGCTGCCTGACATCTCCACTAAGATGCCTCAAGGCCATCACAAACAGTGGAGGTTCTAAAGGAGCCCTTGTCTTCTCTCTGACCAGGTGTGGTGCCGCACACCTGCAGTCACAGTGTTCTGGAGGCTGAAGCAGGAGGATTATAAATTCAAGCTAGCCTGGACAGCTTAGTGATTTAGGGAAACCATCCTAAAATTTCTTTTAAAAGGCTAGGAATGTAGCTCAGCCTAAAGCCCCTGACTTCAATCCCCAGTACAAAAGAAAAAAATATATTCTCCTCAAGTTTCCCTAATGCAGTACATGGCACCCCATCATTCAGAGCCCCCAGACTGGCCCAATCCTAGGACTTCACCTTGATACCTCACACTGATTCACACTGGCATCTCTGTGCCATCAGCAGGTCTGGTCTCTAAACTCTCTGCCCCTCAAGTCACTAAGTTCCCATCACCTCTCACCTGAACTGCTCCCCCAAAACATCCTGACCATTCTCTAATCTGGTCTTTATGCAGCAGCCAAATGATACTTCCATAGTGAAATCCGATTTACTCTGCCTCTTGGCTGTAAAAAGGTCTCCATCCCACCCTATTGGTTTTAGGGTACAGATGAAGTCCCAGAGGCTGCACGGTCTCTCCAGCCTCATCCAGCACAGCCCGGCTGTGTCTTGAGTTGTCCTCTCAGTCCTCAGCTTGTGTGGCTCAATACTTTCCATGTGCCCTGCTGCCTCTGACCTCTGACCCCCGTTACCTTCTGCTCTCCCAGTGCATGAGCCAGAGTCTGCTCCTCGGGATCCTCTCTGACCTCAGTGCCTATTTAAATCCCCCATCATGACTTTCATGGAACCGGGTAGCTAAAGTCCAGACAAATAAGTCCATGTAAGCCTGCTCGTCAACCAAGGATATTTTGTTCCTCCTTTCAAGTAATGACAGCAGATAG